CATTCGTATGCATACTTTATTATCCAGTAGCGTTATGTTTTAAGCTACCAACCTTCCTAACTACCTTTCACTTATTATCTACTGGAAAAGAGAATGGCAGATACACGATTACCATAAATCTAAGCGACGAAACTTGTTACTGCGACTATTTTATAATTTATGTACTATTCAAGTATTGGTTTCTAAGGATTTGATTGATTGGTTACAGGGTTTCATTATGATCTGACATTGGTTAGAGAACCATTGTAAAACCTGAAGGTACTGAACAGCTGTTTCGTCCTAGTTTGGGACTCTTCAGCGGTATGCGCCCACCAGGGTTCGAACCCAGGACCTGTTGGTTACAAGGCTAGCTAGCTGGTAGACCATTAAGCCATTGGGACCCGATCCAGTGGCCCATGAATTCTAACTACTGCCTATTCACTGTGGGAAGAGAAAATCTGTCAACTGAGTGCATCCAAAGAATACAAGTTTTTTTCTTCACGTGAAGTTTGCATTCTCAAAATGAGGAGGGAGGGTTGGGTTGGATTCGGCTGAAACATTTAGCCATAAATTCAAAAATATTGATAAATAACATCAATAACATGTTCATGTTTCAATAGCCTTATAGAGGACACTTTGATGCTTTGTAAGTGTTGGTGCTGAATTTGATTCCCAGATTCTGCATCTCCAACTTCATGGCTCAATTGCATGAAACAAACAACAGAACTTCATACAGTTATTCCCCTTTATGGATTTGAATAGAGAAAGAACAGCAGTGGTTTGCGCACAAGAAGATGGTACTATCATTCATTTCGTCGGCTTCTCATCAGTTGTGTACAGTGCGAACCAATTATTAACTTTATGTACAGAACATCTTTAACATAATTGAAAATTTTACGCAACGTCAGTTGACGAAAGGCTCCAAACTTAGTAAATAATGCTCAGAAATTACACTTAAATAGTTCAAGTTCAATCAAAAATAAATGCTTGTATACAATGGCAAAAGAGTTACATAATAAGGACATCGGCGAGTAATGTGATAAGTAACTAATAATGTCAATAGGAATGTGGCAAGTCCTTGTCAAATCATAGAAACAAGGGACAGACAAAGTTAAACTATATCAAAGGAGTGATGCATCAAAGCCAACGATTACGTAACCAAATGGAAGAGAGAATAAAGACATCCAGTTATCAGGTCTAGGAAAGACTGATAACGGCTTCTTTTCTTTGGAGTGTCTTGTCAACCAACATGACGCAAAACTCTGGAGTATATTGAAATTGTTCTGTGCATAAAGTGAATCATTTGTTTAGACTTCGAACAAATGATGAGAAGCCAACAAAATGAATGATGGTACCATCATGTTATGCAAAAACTAATGTTGTTTTCGCGTTATTCAAACACCAAATAAACTAAATCTTATGACTAACACATCATTAAGATCGTTAAATTAATCACTGAGAGATACTGAGATTTTATATGCCTTTGAGACAAATGACAGGCTAGTCAGTACTTGGATTCATTACTTGGATCAGCCATTTCATAGATATTTCTGAAGTCTCTACAAAAATTATATTTTTTTAAAAACCTTGAAAGGTATTCTGTCAGAAGTAATTGAATAACATTGTATATCCCTGCGAAGCGTGTTCATATTTTAGGAAAATTAGTTTAAAAACTTCATGCTGGATATGTTCTTTTCAGGGCAGCGTTCAGTCTGCATCTTATTCTACTGGCAATATCATCACCTTTGAATGCAAGCTGCAGAAAGATAGGCTTTTTCTCTACTGTACTGATTTTCACTTTTTCAACATGACGTCTCCCATACTTGTCAATGAACTTTTGTGGGTAACCGTTGTCGCGTAGGCATTTCTACACAATGGATAGCTCTTCCTCAATCTTTTCTTTTGAACACAGCTTCCTTACACGATCAAATAATGTTCTGACCAATCCTTTTTTGTAACTTATAGGGCAGAAACTTTTGAAGTTAAGATAAACCGCCCTCCATTGTGTAGAAATGCCTACGCAACAACGGTTACCCACAAAAGTTCATTGACAAGTATGGGAGACGTCATGTTGAAAAAGTGAAAATCAGCACAGTAGAGAAAAAGCCTATCTTTCTGCAGCTTGCATTCAAAGGTGATGATATTGCCAGAAGAATAAGATGCAGACTGAACGCTGCCCTGAAAAGAACATATCAAGCCGCCAAGCTTGTATGTGTTTATCAAACAACTAGTTGTTTGAGACAATCAAAAGTGGACAAATACCCACCTCATGTTACCTCCAACTGTGTCTACCAATTTACATGTACGTGCCAAAGCACCTACATCGGAAGAACAGAGAGAAGGGTTATTGTCCGCATTTCTGAACACATACCAAAGAACCTGAGACTGAAAGGTCCACAAGTATTAAACAGTGCAATTGCGCGTCATCTATTAGACACTGGTCATAATGTAGACAAATTGAAGTCATTCAAAATAATCAACAAGCAAAAGAAACCTAACTTGCTACGCTTTGCTGAAGCAATTGCTATCAGACGACTGAAACCAAATCTATGTACGCAGAAAGAGACAGTGGTGAATCTTGCACTGCCTTGGTGACAAGAAAAGAAATATATATATATATATACAACAGCTTGTTTTTGTTTCCAAGCCTAATTGCCTAATTATTCTATAAATATTTATAAGCTGTCAAATATTGATCACAGTTCATTTGAATTATTCTATAAATAGTCAGTGTTTGTAACTCTTAATTAGTTAAATCATTCCGGACTAATGTTACTTTTACTTCCTACCAATTACTCCTTGTGATCGTGGAAAATTATGTTCAAATCTTTAATGTAATGTAATTCATATTTTTCATCGTTCAGGTTGTAACCAGTTGAGAAGAATCCTCGAAATAATAAAAAATGAGCTCATATTATCCTGGTACAATTGTTGTTCTTGCTTTGTTCAAAATTAGTTTAGTTGATTTGGGAAATATATATATATATATGAGTTAAGACAATCGCAAAGTATCCAGGGATATAGGAAACAGCTTCATATATTTTTGTAACTTGTATTAGACGAGTATCTTAATCAGTTTTATGTTTCCTTTATTTTAGAAGTTGCTACCTATAACTGGGTAATTACGATACTTATACGGTGTATAACGTTTTTTCACATTTATTATATTATCACTGTGGAATACCGGGCTTCAACATAATATCTCTATTTCGCCCTATTCTCAGAGGTATTCTTTGGCTGTCCCTAAGATCGCCCACAATCTCTTCTCTCATCCACACATGATGTCATCCATATGAGCCTCGGACCCACTCCCAACTCATCGATTCCCATTCGGGTTCCACTCGAGCGATGACCTAGTGCTATGTGTCCGACCAATTTCTATTCTTTTCCTTATATTTCTTGGGCATTAAGTTCCTGATTGGTTCGTTTTGAGACTTCCTTGTCGCTAATTTTTCCTGGCTGCCCATGTGCTCTTCAATATGGAGCCACAGAGAGCAGCTGTTGGTAAGAGACAGCAGTAGTCTGTTGGAATGCTTTATGTGACGAATGCTCCAAGTTTCTGACCCATACAGAAGAATTGACTGACTTAACATTGGCGTTGAAAATTCGAATTTTGTTATTTCTGCTGAGTGCAGAAAGTTTCCAAATACATTTCAGAGTGATGGAGGTATTTCTTACCTTTCAGATCCTAGTCTGCTTCGAAGAACTCATCCGTGATGTTGCCTGTAGTTGAAACGATGCTGCCTATATAAGTGAAGGAAGTGACCTATTTGAAATTTATTCCACTGATAGTGATTGGTGCTTGTTGATGTTGGTTAGTTTGTTATCTTCGTCAACTCCGTCTTCTCTATGTTTATTTAAAGTCCTGTCTTCGCCGCCCACTTCATCTGTGTATTTGTTGTTTCTCGCCTGTAGGTCTTAGAGTATGTGTAACATTAGGCGTAAATCATTTGCTAGATCCAGATCTTCTACGATCTTCTTTATCGGTCATCCAACGTATTCCTGTCTTCTAGCTCCCCACGTACAGCGTTCCGAATACTCCAGTCCACCACAATTGGAAATATCATTGGTGATCATATTCAGTCTCTCCTCAATTCAAAAGCTTCTTTGAGTTTTTCCTTGTTGATATCTTGACATGTGCCTTTTCTTGTCAAATAGCTGTTGAATGAGTTCGATGAAGGTTATGGGAGCTGCCGCCCATAGTGATGAAGTGGTTTCCTTATTTCTTCACCGTCGAAAGCCTTTTTAAAGTCTGTGAACTTGACATTTTCAAGTATTGGTTGTGTAGGAATTTTGTTTGATTGGATGGAGGATTTCATCATGATCTGACATCAATTAGAGAACCACTGGAAAACCTGCAGACAGTACTGGACAGCTGTTTCATCCTAGTTTCGAACTCTTCAGCAGTCCCAAACTCATTGAAGAAGACATTATGAAATGGTCGTGCTATGTCGTGAATTGGCAGGAGTTAAAATTCATGGACTGGCCATTGGATTGGGTCACAGTGGCTTAATGGTCTACAAGCTAGCTCGCCTTGTAACAAGAAGGTCCTAAGTTCGAACCGTGTTGGTGTGTGCGTACTGATGAAGAGCCCGAAAATAGGCTGACAAAACATCTGGCTGTCCAGTACTCCCAGGTTTTCCAATGATTCTCTAAGTGATGTTAGATCATTATGAAATCCTCCATCCAATCAAACTTGACATTTCGCATTATTTACTATCAGTGGTTTTTTATAAGATATCTGGTTGATAAGAAACCCAGAAGAAAACATACAGCCAACGGTCAAACCATGCTGCATTTCGTTTATTTATAACATTAATTAGCAGTTTTCTGACTGCCAAATATGTTTTTAAATTTGACTGACATATTTTAGGGAAATAACCAGAGATGAAGATAAAGAGGGTGTTCTGAATACCCTCCGACAATTAATTTGCACTCTCCTTTAAAAAAAAACAAAAAACTGTATGAACTTTCATTTAAACCAATAAAACTAAGTCTACATACAAATAAAATTCACTTACTTGTACATCTAATGGGAAATCGTTTAATTCTAATGTCTCTAAGAATACACCTCTAAGGCGACGACGTTCAACAATGTAAATTTCACCAGCTTCATTTTTCTCTGTCATAATCCAATGTTGTTCTTTTGATTCACTTAATATATTATCAATTAATATAAGAGGATTCCAACAGCGTTGTAAATCTATTTTACGCAGACACTGAAATAAAAAGAAAATATTATAGCTATTAGTACAAACACAATTAGTAATGTTATGTTTTGAACGTCTTATGATAGTGACATTTGAATAATGTTTCCTAGCTGAGAATTACATAAAACACAGTAGGCTTCCTTTTGAATGTTTGTTTGTGCTGAAAACAACACAAGTAAGCGAATAATAGCATTTTCAACGAGATCTCATCAACTTAGAGGAGCGTCTGATGAGATCTGATCAAAAATAATATTGGTTACTGGATTTCATTATGAGCTGACATCAATTAGAGAACTATTGGTGAACCTGCAGGGAATACTGGATAGTCGTTTCGTCCTAATTTGTGACTCTTCAGCAATACGCATCCACGAAATAGGGTTCAAACCTAGGACCTTCTGGTTACCAGGCGAGCTGGTTCGTAGACCATTAAGCCACTGGCACCTGATCCAATGACCAGTCTATGAATTCCATTTTCTGCCCATTCACGAAGCAGCGTGACCGCTAGCCGATGTTATCGGTGGCGAATAGTTGTCCTCACACCCCACCTACTAGGACTAAACACTTTTTCAGTTTTCCCAGGTTTTCCAATGGTTCTCTGACCGATATTAGCTGATGATGAAATCCAGTAAACATTCAGTCAAATCCCTACAAACCAATTCTTGTAGATAATATTGTTCGCATATGGGAATCTTTAAAATTTTTGTAAGTGTTGTATTGGACAGTCTCACATGTTTGCAGAGTTGAAAACTGAACACTGTCATCAATTTTCAGATTTTCAAAGTGTTTACTGTTCATCACCGTAATACACATGTCCCTTAATCTATAAATAACGGTAGGCGACCCTGATCACAAGTTATAATATATTATTATTCCCTTGGTTTCCCAGCGGAACATAGGGCTTTAACAGCGCTACGCCATTTTATCCTGTCCTTTGAAGTCCTCTTTAGCCGGCCTCATATTTGCCGATGGGTTGTCATCTGCTCTTCACACTATCTGTTCCTTATTACCCTAGGAAACACGCCCAAATGGCCGTTTCCCATTCGGGCTCCAATAGAAAGCTGGTCTGGCGCGTGACTTTATCAAATGGTCTTCTTAGCATAATTTCTTCTCTTCTTGATTAATTCGTTCTCATCATACTTTAAGTAACCACACCTTTTTTTCCAATTCCACATGCGCGTATATTTACAAATCTAAGGCGCGCTACCAAACTCGTGATATACTATAAGATGGTATAAGGAAATGTCCGGATACTTGAAAACAACCGGCTATTCTTTGCAGTCTTATATACTGACCACTCTGACTGATTGGAATGATGAAAAGTACGCTTTAATTTCAGACTACAGTTACCAAACTCAAGTTTCAGCAAACACAAAAACGATTAATGGGATTCAGACGAGTCCCATTAGTGGACCATAAAGCAAAAGAATATTATAGGTGCCATTTTTAGCCAATGGACAGTGAGTAGGAC